GACATCCTACAACTTTTGCAATTTCTGTATTATTGTGGCCTAATTTTTTGGCTGCAATAATGCTTTCCTTTTGTGCAGAAGTTAATTCTTTACCAAGACCCATTGTAAAAATGATAGAAAATTTTAAATCGCGTTTTTACGATCCGTAAGAGATTAAATCAAAATAATAATCAACAATCCATTTAAGTAATATATAGGCAAATATGGTATAAGAATCACCATATTAATAATTTTATTAAATCAGTTAAATTTCGATCCGTGCAATACTTTTGATACCCCCTGTAGGACGGGCGGTTGGTTGCGTCGTCGCCGTTGTTGCGCCGTGTAATTGGTTGCCTCGTCTAGACTTTTTCACAATGTACAGTCCCTCGATATGATAAAATCGACGGGACGGGGATTTTTCTTTACTATATCGACAATATATAAGTGGGTGGCGACTGGCAAATCTTGTAGTACAACTGTAACCGTAACCATATAACCTTATCGTTATAATCTGAGGATAAGACCGTTTCGACATCTTAATATAATTATGTAATTCGTACGATAACTTGCTTGATGTTTTTATCATCATTAACTAGGACTTAATTTTTGGGGGCTTCTGTGTGTTATGTAGGATATGGTGTGAGTTATTGTGGTAATTAACTGTTATAAGTTTAGAATACGAAAATGTTTCGGCATTACAGTCAACTCTGTTTATACCGAACGGGTTGGCATAGCTCTCTGTGTCCTTCCGGATCCGGTATATGGAAAGTTTATAAGAGACTCCGGTATAAACAAAGAATTTTCATATGAAACGAACGTGTGCGCAAGAATCTGTCCGTGAGATTCCGGTATATAAATTTCCAGTATAAACAGAGTTGACTGTATTTAATTCGCATTATTACTCGGGAATGGTGATTTGATTCTGGGAGTTTGGATTTGGGATAGATCATTTTGTGATTCTTCGGTATTCGTTTCTATTTGATATGAGGAGTTCTCTTCTTTTTATCGTTACCGTGAAGGAATAGTGTAATTTTATTAGCCAATGAAAATATTTGATACTACAAGGAGAGGTTCAGGTGATGATGGTGGAAATTTACTTTATGTTAATTATTCAAAGCTTGTAGCTTGTATATAGTAGAACCAAACTCATTATTAAATTTTAATGGCATATAAAAGTATTTTTAAGCCTGGCCTATTCAAAGATGATGTTGCATTGGTTACAGGCGGTGGAACAGGTATATTGGTCGTAATTACAATATCGTTATAATCTAATCGACGATTCTAATGAAAAGGCTTGCAATCCATAGGAATCGGAAGATGTATAGCGCATGAATTAGCAAGGTATTTACAAAAGTCTATCAATTATGTCATAAGAGACTCTTAATTTACATCAATCAAATCATGATTAGTCTTGGAGCGACAGTCATTATTGCGGGAAGAAAAATAGAGAAACTTCAATCGACTGCTCAAGAAATGCGTAATGCTGGATATAAAGTACTAGCCTTTTTAATACCTTTGCGAGTATGCATCTCGATTGTAAAGTTTAGTCTTTTTTTTTTCTTCTTCTCAGGTTGACATAACCCAACTCGACATTCGCAATCTAGATGAGATTAAAAAATCCCTAAATTATATAATCAGCAAACATGGAAAATTAACTTGTCTCGTAGTAAGTCTATTTCCCATCTCCTCCCCTCTTTCTTTTTTATCATTGGATTTTTTCTCACACTTTCAAAACAGAATAATGCCGGAGGACAATTCGCAGCCCCAGCATCAGAAATTTCGCCGAACGGATGGAAAACCGTAATTGATCTAAATCTAAATGGGACGTGGATGATGTGTTGGGCTGCATATCATGCTTGGATGGGAGAACACGGGGGGAGGATTGTGAATATTACAGCTGCCGCTCGGTAGGTTTTTTACCAACCCTAGACTGAATGGATTCCATTACGAAGAGAAATTTGTGTCTTGTCTAATGTGAACTAATTCTCAATGTTATTGAATCTGATATTCATAGCAATGGGTAAGCTATTATCGCTTCATCTCTCGTTCATTCATCCCTTTGGTTTCTTCGCAAGCCCTAATCGATAAAAAAAAACCTTATTTATCGCGCTATTCCTCGATCGACAAGAATTCCATTCATGGCTCACACGGCAGCGGCCCGTGCAGGAATTATGAATCTTACCAAGACACTCTGCGTTGAATGGGCACCTCATGGCATTCGTATTAACTCACTTGCACCAGGCACAATAGTTGGAAGTGGCATGACACGCTATCCAATCTCAGTGCAACAGACAGCTGCTGACAATCATTGGATGGTACGTATGATTCGATTAATATTATTATGATTAAACAATAGTTATAAATAATTCAAACAAAATTTTGGTGTGGCATAGAATCCTTCGGGAAGATATGGAACAGAAGCCGAAGTCTCATCAGCTGTAGTTTATTTGCTCTCTCCTGGAGCCGCTTATATTAACGGCATTACAGTTAGAATGGATGGTGGTCGTGACCTATCGAAGACCAGTTTCCAGCGTGAAAGCAAGATTCCTATATATGATGGCGGATTGTCAGTTGAGACGAACGAACTGTTCATGAAATTATGGGGGGATTACAAGCAAATAGGGAAAAGTAAACTTTAACGCTAGTAAGTCTATGAAAGTCACGTTTCTGTTTGGTTGCTTAAATAAAGGAAACTCTACTTGTATATACACCTGGAATAATTTCATCATTCATAAACAATATGACATATTCCGATATTATCGGAAACCTTTGTCTATTTGGTAACTTCGTGAATTGCTTCGGCAAGGTATTTTACGTTATGAGATGTGACACCAGCCATCGAAATTCTTCCATCCTTTGTTAGATACACGTGGAAATCCTTTGTCAAACGCTCCACCTGGAATTACGAGTCATATGAAACGCATAAGTGCTTTGGAAATCGCTTATACAAATTCTACTGATGCTACACGTTAAACACTTGTGTGAGCAATTTTACCTGATCAGGTGCAAGTCCAGTAAAGCAAAACATTCCAATCTGATCAGTAATATGATTCCAAGACTTCTTAGACTGAAAATCGTTTACAAGGTGGCCTTGAAGCTTCTCGCGCATTGTGATAATACGATTCGCCATGACCTTGACTTCTGATAGCCTACAGAAAAAATAATTTAATAATGCATACCGAATTGGTATTTCTCTCTCTGCCAGATCACACTTTTCAACACGACATCACTCATCTCTCATCCCCTGTTACTTACCACTCGGTCCTCAATTCAGGGTCACTCAATACCAAACTTGCAATTCTCGCCCCGTTAACCGGCGGGTTAGAATACATTGGCCTAATCAAGATTTTAATTTGCGACTCGACAGCCGCTTTCTCTTTTGGATTACTAGCGACAAGCGAAAACGCTCCTACGCGTTCTCCGTACAGACCCATGTTCTTTGCAAACGATTGGCATAGGATGATTTGGTGTCCGTCGGATGCAAATTTGCGAACCGCGTAGGCGTCTCTGTCGATATCTCCTGATGCAAAACCTTGGTATGCCATGTCAAAGAAAGCAAAGTGAGAACGTTCCTTTTATGGTAGTAGGCAGATTTAAGAATAAAGTCAGATCCGCGTACAGAGAGTGTTTAGGAGCGTGAAATGTAAAATGTAAACGATGCGAATAGATCGCCAACAAAATACCTTGAGAACTTCCGATAATTCGTTCCATTGTGCAAGAGTTGGATCAACACCAGTTGGATTATGCGCGCACGCATGAAGAAGAATGATTGAATTCTTTGGTGCGCTCTATGAATGCAAAAATAATAAGGCAAAAGCCTAGTTAACGTCTTCATTCACAAACCCACTTAAAACTCTCATATGCTCAATGATCTCTTGCTTTTCTCTGACACTAGCACACATAAACCCTCATCCTGTATACTGCACATTCCCGCCAAATTCTTACCAAAATATCCTCTTTCATCCCATTAAAATCTAACCCATTGGTGTTCTTGTCAAAATACCTATACTGTGCCACACCTAAACCAGAGTCGGAAAACACTGCTTTATGATTGCCCCATGTTGGCGTTGGAACGTAAATGGTCTTTGCGTGTGGATAGAACCTGCCAAGAAAGCTGCCCCCAATGCGAAGAGCGCCTGTCCCTGATATCGATTGACTAATCACAACCTTTCGTGTTGAAAAGAAGAGAAACTTAGTTGATGAAATGAGATGCGATTGGGTTTGAACGTGAATTTTGAAATGCAATGACTTGTTTATAAAAATAGTGCACTAAGGAAAAGAATTGGTAGTCTACGAAAATTGCTGAAGTCGGGTCGACACCCAAGCAAATATTTGCGGTTCAATTGATAAAAACTCACATTTCCTTCGTGGGATGATATGAAATCAGCACCATATGCTAGTTTTCCTGCTTCTTTAGTAAAAGAAGATAGACCCGTGATCGGAAGATATTCTTTGTCTAGTTTATCATTTAATAATTTTTGTTCGGCCTATTCAATCCATTGTCGTCGAATACAATCAGAAACAAGCAATTAATTAGATGCATCAAAAAAAAAAAATTTTTTTTCTCTGTTCTTTTTCTTTTGATCAAATTAAGTAAACCTTATCATTTTATTCTATTAACAAACCTTCCTAACAGCATTCAACACGTACGGCTTCCCATTGTCGTCTCTGTAAGCACCAACACCAAGGTTAATCTTCTTCGAGTCAGTATCCTTCTTATATGCCTCTGTAATTCCGAGGATGGCGTCTGGCGGGCCTTGCTCTACGTTCGCCCAAACGGATGCGAATCTATAGAGACCAGATCGGGGATGACATTTATGAAGAGTTTTTATTATTGGAGATGAGCGAAGAGAGAGCATGCTTCAAGAAGGATGTGATGATGGAAGGAATTGAAAACGCAAGTGAATTTTTGAGTGAGACAAATAAATATAGATAATTCGCTTTATTATTGGCTGGCGTGAAAGGTAAGATTTGCGCGAAATATTCTGTGGATTTTGATTAGTTTGTGTGGTGTATCGTCCAGTTCTTGCATTGCAATGCTAGTCTTTCGTAAACGCGTTAATATGCTATTAATATTAATGTCGAAACCATATTCATTATGTAGATCAAAAGGTATTATTATTATTTTTAATCACGTTAAGTGTAACAACGTAGTTTTTTGAGAAATAAAGTTTTCACCCGTATATGAATAGTTCATTCAGTTCGAGATGGCTCAGTCTATAAATAAAATATAACTTTTTTATCGGAAACATTTATTACCGAATCGCGATGGCAGTAACATAATAAGATTGGATGACTGATGTGTTATATCTATTCAGAGGTACTCAGCAAACATTTAATGAGATTAGCATTAGCTTGCCTTAGTCCTGATTTTTTTTACGTCAAATCAAGTAGTCATGTGGACATGGATTAACAAAAGTGTACGATTGTACGATACATAGACTTTATTGTTATATTAGTGATTTACTTGAATTTAAAAAGCAGTCGAGGTAAATAATAATTTACATGTGACATTTCCGGAAATGAACAATATGTTAATCAAAGAGTGTAAAGTCTTATTATTATGAGATGACCCATTGCCCGTGTGGATGGGAGGGATTCAAATAAGTAGCTCTTTGTGACAGTGGAATCTTATATGCAGAAATAATAGTGTTGTTAACTCCCTTTATCAAAAATCACTTTACCTACATATAATAATGGTATTACTAATAAAAATATACGTAAATCCATACGCGCATCACCACTCGTATTATTCTCCAAGGAAGGTGGTAATTCCCCAGCTATTTCCTTCCAATACTTATTAACAAACAGATTCTTTGATTTAAACAATTTCGCCATCCAATTTCCAGCCAATATTCCACCAAACATGGGAAGCAACCCCACTCCACCATCTTTACCAAGAGTAAGGAGCATTACTGGCGGCCCTGGGTTGTACTCGACTAATTTCTTTTCGCCGATCAATGCAATTATATTTTTGGCAACCAAATCTGCTTGAAGGCCGGCCCTGAGTGTCATTTTCGTCTCTTTGACATTATTAACGTCTCCCAAGGCAAAGACATGTTCGCAACCTTCATGGTCAAGTTTAGCGTAGGACGTACTTTGACTAATCTAGTATCGGGTTCTATTAACTGAGAGTTTAGTGTACCCGCCAATTCGGAATTGACGTGATTTCCGGTGGCTATTAATTGAACATCCGATTCGATTTTAGTGCCTTTGTCCGTTACAAGGGTAACTTTATTGTCTCCATTGCCTATGTCAGAAGCTGAGAATTGTACGCGTTTGTTTAGAATGACATTTACGCCTAGGGCTCTTAGACGAACGGTAGCCTGATCTCGGAATTTCTTTGGAAAGTCATCATTCACGTGGATGAACGACGGTTACTTTTTTGTCTTTGTAGGTAGTGTATATAGCTAGTTAACACAATTAAATCGATTTTTTAATATTTTGACATACCGATTCCGACAGAGCCTCCTCCAATAATTAACGCTCTTGTTGCCTTCTTCACTGCACTCCGGTAAGTATCAACTTTTTTTACTATTTCTTTCTTGCTCCTTCCATCAATCTTGGCAGGTTTAGCACTATCGCTTCCGGTAGCAATTACAGCATACTTGAATGGTACTTTATCGCCAAATTCATCGACAGCCTTGTCCAATGTCATTTCGTTGTCACTCAGTCGAACTGCAGCTGCATGGATAATTTTTCCGTCGTGTTTAAAGAGGTTGTCATATGGGATTAGAAGCTGAGATTCGAAATTGTCTTCTGCGACCGTTCGTGGAGCCCCGACCGAATGCCAGTAGTGAGTTTTACGCTCGATTAAGATGATCCGATGTGTTTTGTGTAACGCGGCTTCAAGTTTTTGGGCAGTGGGTACGCCTCCATATCCACCACCAATGATTGCTCCGTATAGAAACAACGTTCTCCTAGTTTCCATTCTCTTTTCTCCTAGTTCTAGCATTTTCTTATCTGAATAAATCATACGTTATTATTTTTTTATACTAAAATAAATTTCCAATCCGGTAATATTCATACGTCTGTCAACTACTCTTGTATTCGTAATGTTGATTGTAACATAATACCGCAGTAATTTATATCCCGATTAGCAGTTCGATACGATGTCCAGTCCATGGAGTAATCGATTATAGAATATGATCGCACAACACTGACAATGATCATTTCGATCTATGCGGACAAAATGGAAAGTCCCGTGAAAGATGCGGGTATACTGTAACTTTTGTAAGCATGGTGAGTAGAAATATTCCCAATTTCGGTATTAACTTTTTGCTAGGCGTCGACCTGCAACGGAATACAAAATCATAATATTGTCATAGGCTACGATATCTCTAAGCGATGTCAGAGTTAGCTTCCGGTTCAGTGAATTATCCAGCAATAATAATTGTGAAACGCTCTCAACAGTTGATAAGAGTTAAATATCCCATAGAAAATTTTCCATTTACCCAACTTGAGTCGTACCCAGGCGAAACGTTATCCATACTCAGAGGTTGGTGAGAATAACAATGTATGTATATAAACTCCAGCAAATAATGAATCGCTTTGTTGTATCCAACCGTATGTGTATGCATTAGACAATAATACGCTTTTCTATACCACTAGAGATAATGATAAACATCAACTCTCTTTTACTTGCAGTTTCCGCGAAAATAATGGCGGTAACAATTGTCTTTATAAAAATCGTAAATGTATTATTATTTTTCTTATTTACTTAATACGTCGGGCATGGTCTTGTCTTTATATTTATATTTGCATTTTAATAAACTTAGTTTGATTTAGATTAAACTACTGATAATAATAACTGTCCCAAATCTACTATAAGATGTTCGAATTTAGACTTGTTATCACAATTAAAATTTATAAAATTATAAATCGAAAAAGTATAATTTCTGCTTGATAGAGTCTAATCTGTTAATGTAAAATAGCTTTTACATTTGCTTTTGTCGATTTTATTCATAATTAGGTTTAAATTAATATAGATCTAAAATGAAGCCACTATTTATTTACAAGCTATGATGTTGGCTGTTAAATAAAAAACTTTTTGATAGATTAAAAAAATACTGGCCGCGCAGTATTAGTATCCAATAAAAAAGTTGTCACGTGCAACGTAACACAATAATTTGAAAATTCTCTCCAAGAAAAAATCTTTTAATTCTAACCATGTCGTTAACGTCAGGGGTTGTTAATAATCCAGCAATTGAAAGTAAACATGAACTTGGATGGATTCCTTACGAGAAAATCACCGACATAGAACCAACTCAAATTGACAACGTTCATTACGGTATTTACAAGCGAACGCTGGATGAAGGTAAAGTCGAGGAAACAATGATAATACTTGTGCTTGAACTATTTGGAAATGATGAGATATCTACACCAACACTAGCGAGTGAGTTATTTAGACGATATGCAAAATGGCTGAAGGAGCGCAACAAACTCATAATTGGATTTACCAAGTCTAATGACAAGTATCGCAACAAATTCATTAAAAGATTTACCAAGCCTAAAGTTAATTATTACATGGTTGCCGATAGAAGGTTTTACCATTGTTACTCTCAATATGGATTCTGCTCTGCATGTGGAATACTCCGATGTAGTCCTGTGTGGTGCATTT